GACAACAGAATCGTTAAAGCTAATGTCCCAAGTCTCACGATTGATGGTAGAAACGTCAACAGATAGCAAACTAATTTTTGGGAATTACATTTAATATGAGCCCTTCATTTAAGGACCAGGTGGAGAGTGTTGTGACGAGATGCCAAAAAAGAGATAGTGCACTTAAGACTATGGCTGCAATTGACATAGAGCAGAGAATGCTTTTCACACTATATCAGCACCTGATCCTGTCAGTGATTGATTATGGCCTGGGAGTGCTTACCGTCTCAAAGAGGCAGATGGACAAACTAGAGGGTATACAGAACGCGATTTTGCGGGTCATTCTGGGTTGCACCAGAGACACCCCAGTGGTGTGTATGCGATACATCCTTGGTTTGACGACGGTTGCAGGTAGGCACAAGGTGCTGCATGCGAAGTCATATCTCAGGGTAGCTGCAGACACAAACCACCCACTGCATGAAGCTCTGAGTGCAGTTAAGGGTCAGCGGCTGATAAGAGGGAGGTCATGGATGGCTCAGGCAGAAGACACAGTCAGACAGGTTTGCATCCTTGAGAACATTAGGCGAGGAGAAGAGTGGGTCAAAGTGCCACCTGAGCAGTCAGACTGGTGTAGAGTCATAATCACGCTGAGCCGGGAATGCAGAGACTGATGCCACAAAGGTGGAAATTCAGCAATTAATTCAAGATAATGCTCGCTCAGAGGATTTGATCATTTACACCATAGGTTCAGTGTCAAGAGGCAAAAGAAGTGCTTGGGGATTCTTAGCAAGCGTCAATGGTCGACGTTTGGTACGGGACAGAATGGGCATTTGATACCACAACATCCAGCTTAAGAATGGCGGTCACTGCAGCTTTCCGCTGGATAGAGAACACGACACACACACACACACACACACATCGTGATTGTAACTGATTCAGAAAACATGTTGAGGAAGATCAGAACAGGTATGCTTCGTGCAGAGTGGCATGCTTCGCTGCGGAGGCACGGGTGAGGAGTATTGTATGGATTTTTTAGTGATCCGTCAGAACTATCATAACATCAATTCGGTCAGATTCATGGGTGATCTGATCACCTCATCGGCAGCTCCACAAGAGTAAAACGACTGGTGACGCCTGTTCTGTGTGGATTAATCAGAGTCGTGTGCCCTTGGTTAAATGATCATGTCTGGGTGTTCCATGTTGCATACCCCACGTCCATTAGCCTGGACAAGGATACCGAGTCTGCTTGATATCGTCATTTTCGTCACGATGCTTTCACAGCATTAATGCCATCACTCCTGTCAAGTACCAGGACTGCCGTAGTAACCGCCCTGTCCACCAGATAATCTGCATGCTTATTGTCTTGAACACCCACAGTGTGATGCACATAGATACGGATTGGGTGAGTTATTCGTGGTGCCTTTGGTCAGAGAATCCATTCTTGTTGATAAAGCTAGAATATACCTTCTTCATTCAGCATATTCATTGAATCGGTCAGTATTCACACATGTGTGAATTCTTGAGTTCCCAGCCATGCCCATGCCTTTGCTGCAGCCATTGTCTCCACTGTGAAGCTGCTGATTTAACTGCAAAACCCCCAGATATCTCCATACCGGTTGTTTTCGTTGCTCTCTTAGTGAACGTCCATGTACTTCACTAAACCGGTTGACCGATCAATCCGTGTAAACAACAGCATCGTTGACATCTGTGTTCTCATCCCTCAACGTTTTGACTAATGTGTCCACCATGTCAGAGATCTGTTTCCTACAGCTTCTGTCAAGGGTGTTAAGAACTGGGATGCTAAAGTTCAAGGCAATAGACAAATGCACCCATTCGTGTTTTAGATTAATGTCAGGCTTTATAGGCGTGTGTCCTATCCGAAGCCAGTCTTTTACTCACCTCTTTGTTCATTGGAAGGTGTTTAAATAATTAACGAAGCTGTATATTATTTATTTTGCCATATCGTTCAATTACTTCTAGTCTATACGGATGATGTTTCGGGAAAACATTTTATCTTACACAGTTCGTCACTCAGGATGCATACAATAAGTAAGTAATCAGACAGATTTAGCTTTTGATTTCCCCCTCCCCCTCCCTTTTTTCCAAGCTGTCATGAGCTGAATCTGTATGTGCATATATGGTAGTATCAAGGCATGAATGACTTCAGAAAGACATCGAATTGAGGCGAATTACACTAAATGAACTAACAACAACATTGACATTTATACAAGAGACAAAACTGCTAATATAGACAACTTATTTCAGGCGAACGAAAGAAGAAGAAGAAGATGGGAATTAAAACAAAATAATCAGGCCACATAGAAAGAAGGAAATAAGTATATATATATATATATATATATATTTAAGAGATTAAGGAACTATATATATCTCCGTCTCTCATCTCACCATGTCTCTCAATTGTCTTTTTTCGCCCTCTCTCTCTCTCTCTCTCTCTCTCTCTCTCTCTCTCTCTCTGTCTATGTCTCTATCTCTCTCTCTATATATATATATATGCACCGATACATGCACAGACACGCAAAGACACATACAAACATATGCAAACATACAAGCACACAAACATATATATATATATAAATATATATATATATATATATATATATATATATATATATATATATATATATATATATATATATATATATATATATATATATATATATATATATATATATATATATATATATATATATATATATATATATCCTTACGTCCTTTTTAGGACGTAATTTTTTGTTATTTGAAGCCCCACTCTGGCTTTTGCCAGGGGCCGCAATATAGGCAGGCCATAAATATGGCCAATTGTTTGAACGCGGTTTCTGGGACCTCTCCACGGTGATCCTCATCCACATGGTGGCACTTTGTGTCATCGGGTGTTTATCGCTTGTTTGATGTCCTGGTGGGGTAGAAAGTCAGTCATATATATATATACAGTTGTAGACTATTTGGTAGCAAACTAATTTAGGCGGGGTTTGACAATGATCTAGAAATGGCAGACGTGGTAAACTACGAAATGTAAAATTGTCTAGAGCACCCACAAGCATATACACGCACACGTTTGTGCTTGTCCTTTACAAGAAATTAGAAACCAACTCAAAATTTATTGGCTGCTTGTGGGTGCTCTAGACAATTTTACATTTCGTAGTTTACCACGTCTGCCATTTCTAGATCATTGTCAAACCCCGCCTAAATTAGTTTGCTACCAAATAGTCTACAACTGTTCCTGTGTGTGTTTTTAACGAGTGTCCTCGTTAGGCTTCATGAATAAAGTTATGTTTGATAATTTCGGGTATTTATTACACAATAAAAAAAATAATAACAAGGATGGATTTAAGGGGTCACTCGCCCCAATTTTTTTTTTTTTTCATTTACAGAGTTAGAGCAATTATTTTATAGTGGTCATTTGAAGGGATACCTGTTATTACATTTGCATACTTCAAGTGTGAAAAAATCTTGGTTGTCATGGAAATAGCCGCCATTTTGTTGGAAAAAAAAGATATACTTAGAATCCAAAAATTTCAAAAACAAACATATGAATTAAAAAATAAAAGATAGATTCATGATTTTTTTATCACATTTAGAGGTACAGGTGTAGTTTTTTTTTTTTACTTTAAACATGTTTTTAAATATTTATCGTAGAATTTTAAAATGTAGGTTTATTGAAATAGTCACACACACAAAAAATCTTGATTCATAAGAAAATAATCAAATTTTAAAAACAAAAACTTTCTAAAATCTACTTTTGAAAAAAACCAGTCCCTATAATATTGTTTAAGGCGTATCCATAGTTAATATCATGTTACTAGTCTTTATATTAGCTTAGATTGAAAGTATTTCACTCACACAACAAACATAAATATAGAGATGAGAGAAAACATACTTTTAAAAATCCTTTTTTTTTTTTTTTTTGTTATCTTAAAAAGGGCATCGGTTGGTGCCTTTAGTATTAACTTTTCAAAGCTAAATTGTTTACAGATGATATAAATTTTGCGTGTAATCTATTCTACGAATGCCGAACTTTACAAAAACGACCACATTGAAAAAAAAAAGATATTTTGGTCATAAATTGGAAAAAATGCTGTGTAGTGACCCCTTAACTACTTTCAACTAGGTGTAATTAATATTATTTTGAACAAAGGTACCCAGGCCCGTGTGGGCTCTGCGGCTGTTTTATGGCACATACAAGAACATGAATCACGGCAGCCATCAGTTAGGAAGAGAACTGTTGAATGAACTAGAAATTAGTTCTGAACGAAAATGTATTTGATGATCTAACCTGTGCGCATCCTTTAATTGATCATTGGACTGCGCCTAGCCAATTGTTACGAGTATTATAGCGCGAGACAAGGTCAGTAATCCAGCAGGGACACGTATTTGCCCAACAGCTCATGAGAAGGCTGTTGCTGTACATGAGGGCTAAATATGTTCAACGTAGAATAAAGCCACCCGTATTAAAACTCGGTTACAAACCACGTCTCCACTTAGGGGCTTACATTAAAAATTTATCCAGCTTCCCAGGTAGAACCATTCTATACTGGGAGTTTTTGAGATTTTGAACAACGGATCACCATCATAACGTCATATCTCCGATACTAAACCGGCTTAGACTGTGTGGTATGCTACTCAAACCTGACTGATCGTAATCTTCGTCTCGTATAAAACTCATTTTCGTGTAAAGAAGATTACAATTTAAAGTTTTATCGCATATGGCTCGCTCTTTCTTGTTAAAAACCCTAGCAACCTGCCGAGAGAGTCGGACAAAACACCGACTATGTTTTTCCATGGACGTTCCTACTTATCTCTCTGAAATTGCACTCGTGACACGACTTGCACAGTGCGTAAAACGAAGCCAAGCCTTTATATGGCATAACGAACAATTAAACCACACAGCCACTGCTAGTCGTTCTCATATTTGTAAACATTAGTGTATATATAAAAATCAAAATATTTAAATCAAAATTATGCCTTTTTTTTCAGCGTGGTTCTGTGACTTGCCACCAGAGTCGGGACCGTGCCTTGCCTACTTTCCTCGGTATTTTTACAACTCCATATCTGGGGAGTGTGAACAGTTTATTTATGGAGGATGTGGCGGCAACAAAAACAGGTTTGAAACCACCACGGCTTGCCAAATTGCTTGCCAAGGAGGGTACAAGGCCTAAACCTTTCGCTGTACGGAACCGTCTCCCAGTAACTTCAGCAATGAAAAACTGCCGAATATTTATGGCGGTGTAATCAATAAATATACTGAAGAGGTTTTACTGTTTTGTTATAATGTGACTTTGCAAGTGTTTGAGCAAATTGCTATTGAAAAATGATTGCCATGTCAGGTAGCCTTTTCTTTTTTGTTCTCCTCCTCCTCTGTTCCATCTCCCTACACGAAATTACATTACAGAAAACAAATATTTTGTTCACTCGAAACGTCACGAATGTTTAAAGGGAACAATATTGGAGGAGTATATGCCAGGAAAAAAAAGAAGAAGAGAAAGACCAAAGAGAAGATGGGTGCAGGATGTGGTGGCTGATCTCCAGATGGGTGTATCAGACGCAAAACATCTTGCTTGTGATCGAGATGTTTTCCGGAGGGTTGATATGGGAGCAAGGTTGTGCAAAGGACAAGCTATTGACTGACTGAAACAATAGCACACGCAATAAAATGAAGGTGTTGACTGATAGCCCCATATGGTGCATACCACAGAGCTCAATAATACCTGTTTGTCTTCTGCTCTGAGGTGCATGGAGATGTATGACACAGTGACAAGATACCACAATGACAGTATACAACTATGAAAGCATACAACAGTGACAGTATACCACGATGACACTATACCACAATGACAGTATACCACAATGACAGTATACCACAATGACAGTGTACCACAATGACACTATACCACAATGTTAGTATACCAAAATGACAATATACCACAATGACAGTATACCGCAATAACACTATACCATAATGACACTATACCACAATAACTTCTTCTTCTTTTGTCAAAATCTGCTTGTGCCGCTAGGCGTTGCAGTCTATCAGATGATCGGCAACCGAGCCAGGGCGCGCTCAGTCGCTTCATATGCCGTAATGTTATGAAGTCTCAAGTTGTCCGTGACTCCTTCAATCCATCTTCTTCTTGGCCTTCCCCTGCCTCTTGTTGTTTCGATTTTCATGTTGTATGCTCTTGATGCTGGCATCGTTGGTTCCATTCTCATTAGGTGACCAAACCATTTCATTCTTTGCTTCTCAATAAATTTAACGATGGGTATGGTTCCAATAGTTCTTGTAATCACATCGTTTCTCACTCGATCTCTTCTGGTTTTATTCGCAGCCATTCTCAAACATCTCATTTCACAGGTGGTTAGTCTTCTCTCATGTTCTTTTGTTAATGTCCAAGTCTGACATTGATAACCTAATGTCGGTATAAAGATTGTATTTATAATTTGTCTTTTTATCTCAGCTGGGACAGCAGAATGTTTTAAAATTGGGGCAAGCTGGTATGCGACATTGTTGGCTTGTTGGATTCTTGCTTCAATCTCTCTGTCTATTTTACCATTGGATGTAAAGATACTTCCCAGGTATTTAAATTCTTGCACTTGTTTTAGGCTGTGATCTAGAATCTTTATGTCGATGGTCTGTTGCTCTCTACTTATGCTACCACAATGATATGATACCACAATAACACTATACCATAATGACAGAATACCATAACGACCCTATAAAACAATGACAATATACCATAATGACATTATACCATAATGACACTATACCATAATGACCCTATACCATAATGACAATTTACCACAATGACAATATACCGAAATTACACTATACCGTGATGACATATACCACAAGGATTATACCACAATGACTATATCACAATGACAGTATACCACAATCACTATACCATTAAAAAAACTTTACTAAAATGACACTATACCACAATGACAGTAATGATATCTATACCATTATGACAGTATACTACAATGACACTATACCACAATAGGAGTTTACCAGTAAGACAGTATTTCAAAATGTCAGCAACGCTGTCTATTTCATAATGACAGTAGACCACAAAGACACTGTACCACAATAAGAGTGTACCACAATGACACTATACCACAATGACAGTAATGCAGTCTATACCATAATGACTAAATGCTACGATGACAGTATACCACAATGACATTATACCACAATGAAACTGTACAATAATGACAGTATACTACAATGACAGTATACCATAATGACAGTATATTATAATGACACTATATTATAATGACACTATACCATAATGACAGTATACCGAAATGACACTATATCACAATGACTATACTACAATGACTATACCACAATTACAGTATACCACAATGACTATACCACAATGACAATATATCACAATGACTATACCACAATTACAGTATACCACAATGACTATACCACAATGACAATATATCACAATGACTATACCACAATTACAGTATACCACAATGACTATACCACAATGACAATATATCACAATGACTATACCACAATGACAGTATACCACAGTGACAGTATACCACAGTGACAGTATACCACAGTGACAGTATACCGCAATGACACTATACCACAATGACAGTATACCACAATGACTATACCACAATGACAATATACCACAATGACTATACCACAATGACAATATATCACAATGACTATACCACAATGACACTATACCACAAGGACACTATACCACAACGACTATACCGTAATGACAGGATACCACAAGGACACTAAACCACAATGACAGTAGACCTTGATGACACTATACCACAATGACACTATACCACATGACACTATACCAAAATGACACTACACCACAATGACAGTATACCATAATGACAGTATAACACAGGGCTCTATACCAAAGTGACAGCAAACTGCACATTTTACAACTGCTGAGCTGCTCACTATATTTGCAGTACATTCCCTGAGTCCCTGAGCCTCAGTGGCCCCAAAACTCTAGACTCTCTGGCCGAGGCCTTCGACCAAATGAGACATTTCCCTGGCCAAAGCCGCGTTTGTCTGTTTGAGTGCAATCCATGCTTCTTTCAATGTTAGTACATCTTGTGCAGAATCTATTGCTTCGTTTTTCACTTTCGACCCCTCTAAAGCGAGGGCTAAGTAACGCTGACTTTGGGGTCTGATGACTCGCGCAAACTCTTTGTGCCAAATCTTTATTGATAATTTTAAAAGGTAGTACCAGCTTCGACTCTTTTCGATTGCCAGTTGCCACAGAATTTGCACACGCACGTCCGATCTCACTACGCAGAGACCAGGGGGAATTACTAGTCCAAGTCCACTCAAAAAAATCCCAGCCCTTACCGGAGAGTAAACCCGGAACCTCTAGCACTCGAGGCGGACACCATGCTTGGAGACTACGCAGCCCCACTACATTAAAGAAATATAACGCACACAAGGAGTAGGTGTTATAAGGTCACATAGAGCTGTATGGAATGACTATCAGTTCATCATAATTTATCATGTCTTTTGCTGGACACTTGGGGCATTCACGAAAAAGCATTTACGGATTTAAGAATCAGCATTAAAGCATACTCCCCACTTTACATTGGATTTATAGACTATGAAAAAGCATTTGACAGCATTGATAGGGAATCTCTCTGGAAATTGATGGGGCACCATGGAATCCCACAGAAAATTATCAACTTAGTAAAGGCAACATATAAAGACATGAAATGTCGAGTTCTTCATGAGGGAAAGCTAACAGATGCATTTGAAATAAAAACAGGTGTGCGACAGGGATGTCTTTTGTCGCCTCTCCTATTTTTACTGGCTATAGACTGGACTATGAAAACAGTAACTGCTAACACCAAGAATGGAATTCAGTGGACCCCTACAAAACAGCTTGATGATCTGGACTTCGCTGATGATATAGCCCTTCTGTCCCATTCACGGAATCAGATACAAGATAAATTAAATATACTTAATGCGAGATCACAGCAGCTTGGTCTGAAAATCCATAAAGGAAAGACAAAGATAATGAGAATAAATCAGGAAAATAGTAATGTGGTTTCTCTTAATGGCACCCCACTCCAAGACGTGGAGTTGTACACCTATTTGGGCAGTAATGTATATAAAGATGGAGGAACTGATAGAGATATTAAAATAAGAATATAAAAGGCAAGAGGGGCTTTCATAGCACTAGGGAATTTGTGGAGGTCAAAAGAAATTAAAAGAAATACTAAACTAAAAATTTTTAATTCTAATGTCAAATCAGTACTATTGTATGGGGCGGAAACATGGAGAACTACGAAGGCAATTACTAATAAATTACAGACATTCATTAACTGGTGCCTGCGCAGAATAGAGGGAATAAAATGGTATGAATAACTAATGTAGAACTTTGGGAGAGAACTATACAGGCTCCAGGGGATCAGGAAGTGAGGAAAAGACGCTGGCGTTGGATAGGGCACACACTGAGAAAACAGGGGAACAGCATAACTAGAATGTCTTTGCATTGGAACCCACAAGGGCATAGGAATAAAGGAAGGCCAAAAAACACATGGAGAAGAGAGCTGGAGAATGAGGTTAGAAAGATTGGGAGGACATGGGGAGAGCTCCATGTAATGGCGAAGGATAGAACGACTTGGCGTGAGTTGGTTGAGGGCCTATGCTCCATTGGGGATAAAAAGGCAAAAGCAGAAGAAGAAGAAGAAGATTAAAGCATACAGGCTATACAAGTAGATGCTCCATCTGCGCATCACACGTCATATGGTTTATATTCTGACTGTTGCAGTTGCGAAATGATTGTTCACACATCGAACTCGTCTCCTCGTAGGCAATTTCTTATAAACTCCACACTTTTCAGTTCCATATTTTTTAATTCTTACATTTATCACTCACGATATCCGTCAAATGAACACTCCTGGAATACAGCATTGTGATCTATCAAATAAGAGTCTTGTATAAACATTCCTGAAATACAACAATGTGATGAATTTAAAAAGAAAAGATCACATACGAACATCCCTGGAACATATAACTGTGATCTATCACCACAAATCAAATATGAACATCCCTGATACATATAACACTGTAATATATCAATAAAGCTCTTATATAAACATTTCTGGAATATGGGATTGTGATCTATCAACACAGCTCTTATATGAACATTTCTGAATCACGTGATTGTGATCTATCAACAAAGCTCTTAAATGAACATCCGTGCAATATAACATTGTGATCTGTCAACAAAGCCTTTAAATGAACACTTCTGGAATATAACACATTGTGATCTATCAACAAAGCTCTTAAATATAAAAAAACCCTGCATTATAGGATTGTGATCTATCAACTAGGGCTGTACCGAATATTCGCTTCGTATTTGCTTCGGGGCCGAATAGTGGACCTATTGACTATTCGGTATTCGACCGAATAGTTGCGGTCGGGCAGAATACGAATAGTAGTTACCTTACAGCCACTTCTGCATACATGGCCTTAATGCTGACAACATGGAACGATTAGTTTTGTTGAAAGCTAATGCAGCTTTCATGCATTAACTAAGCTGTCAGTGACAATTTCCAAGTTTAGTTTCTTGTTATATTACTTAGGTTTCTTTCATTCCTAGTTATTAGTTACCACAGAATGACTGAAGGATGCAAAACATAAAAAAAAAAATTTTTAATGTTTACTATTTTGTACGAATACTAACTAGACATGAAAAGAATATAAACTCCGGCCACATCAAAGTCGATAATATGAAAATCAAAAGAACGGAAACATATGAGTACTTAGGTGTAAACTTCAACTGCTCCAACATGCTGAGAGAAGAAATACAATCTAAAAAATAATCTAGAAATAAAGGTAATTATACCTTTCAACATCTGCTAAAGTCAAAGTGTCTGTTTCGCAACACCAAGATCAAAATATATAAAACGTTGATAAGACCAGTCGTTTTATATGGCTCTGACACTTGAAGCAGAAAAAAAAGAGATGAGGCCTTATTTCAGGTTTTCGGAAACAGTCTTTCGACAAATCTTTGGACCCATCAAAGATGCTAACAGCGGGGAGTGGAAAGTGAGAAGCAACAACGTGACACATAATCTGTTTAAATCACCATTGATCACTGGCATCATGAGAGCTAACAGACTAAAATGGTTAGGGCATACTAAAAGCATGTCAGATGACAGAGAAGTAAAACTGTATACACCTGAGAGAGGAATGGGCGTAGACCACGAGGCAGACAAAAAAGAAGTCCGAGAGATAATGTCCAGTAAGACCTGCAAACAACTGGTGTCACAAATTGTGAAAATAAGGCCAGCCAGAGAGATGAACGGAGACGAGTGATATCTGCAACAGTAAACCTCAGGGGCTCAGAATGCTAAAGAAGAAGATGACTATTCTGTGCTACTTTATGTGAAGTAAAAGTTCAGCTTACATTTGACATTATGAATGTGTGTGTGTGTGTGTGTGTGTGTGTGTGTGTGTGTGTGTTTAGATATATTTTATACACTATGCACTTTTCGTGTTCGAATTCGTATTCGGCCGAATAGTTGGTCCCGCTATTCGTATTCGGTCGAATAGTGAAAATCACTATTCGGTACAGGCCTACAATCAACAAAGCTCTATGTTGTACTACGTCTAAAATGAGGAGTATGGTGGGTGGGGGTAGACAAAGTATCACTTTACAAGTGGCTATGTTGTACTACGTCTAAAATGAGGAGTATGGTGGGTGGGGGTAGACAAAGTATCACTTTACAAGTGATATAAAACCGAGCCAACAACGTAGCTAGCAAACAAGAAGATACTCTCTTCTAGACAAGACAAGAAACCGATGGAATGTTGAATTTTGAATTAAGAATTGACATCACAGCACTCGGGACACTCGCATAAGTGATCAGTCCCTATCTTCAGCAGCAAGCAAAGAGTTTCATTTCCGAAAGTACCAGTAACCATCTAATTGTATATCCGTGTCATCCTTCGTCTGAGTCGAGTCTAAGCGGGATACCCTGGTAACTCCTCGCAGTGCCATTTTTCTTAGACGGTAATAATCTGTCTGCCCCTCCGCACTGTTCACTCGCTGCCAAAGGGCCCTCACAATTTCTAACTTGCCATACATCAGTTCATCACCAAGTGGTGCAGTGCCAGCCAGTCATTTTGCCTGCTCATTTCCCAACATACCTGCATGACCTGGAGAAAACACCCAAAGGATGCTAACTAGCCGGGACCTCTGATTAATGCTTGCCACTTTGCACGAACATGTCTGTTTTCACCTTTCTCAACTTGCTCTGTGAGTCAATAAGGGAACGGAGAAAGTCTAAAGAAGTCCAAATCGCCATTTGACTTTATTATTCAACTAGAAAAGCTTCCTTAATTTACCGGTTACATGTTGGGACTCATAATGTCAACGAAATAAAGGGGATTCCAAAAACGGGCGCTTTATTAATATCCTACCCCAGATGACGTCACAGGATAGTCCAACGTTTTAGAGGGTTTTAAGACTGAGTTTCCCGGCTTTCTGATGCTTTTAACGACCCCAACATATCTACAACTGACCCTAACCTTAACCCACCTCCGTCATAAGAGAGAGTGCATCCTAGATCCCACGACTGCATGCAGCCTAGGTCCCACATCCTGACAGATTAGACTGTCCACCCATGACCTGTGAATTTCCCCTGTTTGGGGTAGGATATTAATAGAGTACCCAAAAAGGTACGGAAAAAAATAACGACAAATAAATACTGGGGTTTGTTTGTCCTGTTAACTATTACGAACTTTACCTTTGCAGAAAAACATCAGAAATGACAGGACAAGATGAACACAGTTGACAGCAGGATAGGAAATAAGCCGTCTGACTTGGAGGAAAGAAGCATTAGGTCCAGAGACGCTCGCAAATACCAGAACGTTAGCCATGAAAAAAGCGCAAATAAACAAGACCACAAATATGGCTGGAGACTGATGGCAGTTTCATGACGTCTCAATGTTTTGAGGTTTCGAAAAACATAGCATCATGGCACGCGGATAGTAATCCATAAGTGTTCCGTTCTTCTTATAACTCAATTCTGAGGCCGTAGAACCTCACCACAGTGCGCAGGCTCTGTAGCACCGGCGAGGATCCTAAAATTCATTGAATATAGCATTGCAATATGTTAACAAATGTCTAATATGAACACTATTAACATATAACATTGTGATTTTTAAACAAAATTCTGCCTGGTCAGAGTCCGAACCTCTAGCACTTGAGGCGAGACCCCCCCCCCTCCCCCCTACCCTCCCAAACCAACCAGATGTCTCAATGAAAGCTAAGTTTATTATAAATAAATCCCACTAAATACTGTATTTTTTTTAAATCATTGATATAGACAAATCGTCAGTCTATAGGGGTGACGGAGTGGGGATGGTAGTCAAAATATTCTTACTGTGTACCCGGGTAAGAGGGTTAAACAGTTCTCTGTGTGAGTGTCTTTAAAGAGATCTTCAGTGCCAGTTGTTTTTCCTACACTCTTCTATTTAATATCTACTGTCCTCGGCGATTCACCCCTGCACATCACAATAAACTCGTCCTTAGTCCTTTAGAACAGTTTTTCCCAAGATGATGACTTCGGTACATCAAGTTGGACAGTATTAATTTATCTTTCGTTCATGTTACTTGGATTATTTAACCTAAAAGGAGTTTCTGCATGTAGGTTTAAAAATAATGTCTAAGCTGACCTGATTTCTTCATAGGAGCAATAAAATTTCGGAAAAATAAGATAAGAATGCTTATCAGTTTCATAACTTCATTATCTAGCTGTCTATACCAACGTTTTGTTTATTCTATTTAGTAATACCGATGTAATTTAATTGTCATTTACTGGGACGTGCGAATAGCCTTAGTTACTTATGCAACAGTTGAGACCTGTTTGTTCTAGTGCACCTATAACTTTGATGCTTCATATTTCAGGTGTTGTGTTATCACAGCTAGAGGAAGATGAAACGATACCTTCCGCTAGCTGCTCTGCTGGCTTGTGTCCGTATTAGTGCATCGGGAGCTAGGTGTCCTTACAAGGTATTTTAAATATTCTGTGGAAATAATGTTAACTGTGTTTGTAATTTTCCTTATAGACACCACATAATACTATGGCGTGGTTGCGATCAATAAATATATTCCAATTACAGTGTATTCAAAGTAATCAAAGAACAGCAAATGAAGTGGTTTGGACACCTAACAAGAATGCCCTGGTACTATCTGCCACAGCTAGCCACACTGAAACGTTACAAGGAGTATAGAGCGAGCGGAAGACCTCGGAGTGAGTGTATTAGGAACAGCCTGACAGAAATGAACATCAATCCTAATAGTGCTCTTGACAGAGCAGATCAACGAATGTTAAATCTCCCCCCGACACTTCATTGATCTACAAAATGAAAGACAAGAAGAAGAAGACGTGGATTCTTTTTCTGCATCTTATCTTCTTCTCTTTGGTATGTTTTTTTTTTTCAGATTCTGATCCGGTTCTTGTCATTCCGTTCTTCTCGTCTTGCTTTCTTGTTCTTCTTCTTGTTCTTCTTCTGATTACTATTTTTATTTTTACCTTTCATTATCTTCCCACAGATTTGAAGTGTATCTTCAAAAGACCATTGAGCCTTTAAAGCAAAAGTCACGTCTTGGCTTCTCATTATGTTCTTTTCTCTTGCGAACTGTGTATATGGTGTCCGCCTCGAGTGCTAGAGGTTCCGGGTTCAATCCCCGATATGGGCTGGGATTTTTCACGTGGACTTGGACTTCTAATATTTTCCCTGGTCTCTGGCTAGTATGATCGCACGCTCGCGTACATTGTTGCGCACGTAAAAAAAAATCTATAGGCAGTTGGAAATCGAAAAGAGTAGCCTAATGGCGCTGCCCAGGCAAAATTTAGAGTTGAAAATCTACCCGAAATTTTTCAGGATCCTTGCCGGTGACACAGAGTATGTGCACTTTGCTGAGCTTCTTCGGACTCACACTTGAGTTAGAAGATAGAAGGGAGCACTTATGGGTTACTACCTGTCTGCATGATGTTGATACGTTGTTCAAACTTCAAACTTCTATTAATAATCTATACATCTAATCGTATTCTCCACATAATACGATATAATTGTTGGAGCCATAGTTTAACCACAAACTTTACCATTCTTGTAACCTTTGACAGGAATGCGTGTGTGACAGTATAAGTATAGTCTGCCAGAATAGGAATTTAACGCGGATCCCGGCGTTAATCTCTGAGAAAGCTGACGAAGCCTTTCTGCTCATGGATGTAAGTGAAGTTGTGTTAATTATTAGTCTAGAAACTCATCCTCCCCTTGTTGTTGTCGTTGTTTGTTGTTGCGTTCTGGTTTTGTTACATCATTCTCAAGTTATGTGTTTCATTTTGGGTTCCGATCAGACAGGAAATGAAGAAGAGGGTACTAATACAAATAAAATATATTTGAAGAAAAAAGTGGTGCCACCACATCTTTGTTTAATTTGCCATTTTTGTGTGGAGAAGACACAGTCATGTCCGAGACGCGACTCTCATCCGGCGGTCCAAAAGCCACGTAAACAGTATTAGTTTTCCCCCAAAACGCCTGCAACATGGGTCGAATTTCGGTACGTATAGATTTATTTGAACATCAAGAAAGATTGGCTCATAAACAGCATCCTTTCTCGGAAGCTGAAATATTTTGTCATATCGAGCGCCACGACGGATTGGAAAAAACTAAAGCAGAAGGCATGGTACTAAGAAGGAGGGGCAGGGGCCGACCGACACGAAGATGGGTACAGGATATAAGTGACTCCTTGAGTATGAAAGTATATGAGGCAGGACAACTGGCGAGAGACCGAGTTTCTTTCAGGCAGACTGTGATGAGAGCGACGTTCTGCATGGACCTACTACATGACGATGATGATAGAATTATTGAATTCTTCATTAACCTCTATATCCATTGCCGTACCCTGAAAGACATACCACTCCTGAAAAACAATACTGGAAGGAAAGCTGAAGACGCAATAGCAAGTTGCAGTCAGACATTGAAAGTTGATAATACTATCAAGTGATGGACGAACAGCTGTTTAAGAGAGTACACAATCAGCCATACTATTGCCATGCACTCAGTCTCTTCAGTGCCTCTAAATTAACTAATATGAATGAGTCACATTTCACGAACTATGTAACAGTTGACGTTGTAACTTGGGTGGAAAGTTGTTAAAACACAGGGGTTAGCATGAAGCCTTTTCTCTCAAATCATCGTCATCATTATGTGCCCTGCCAAACCACCTAGGCGCTCTTGCGTCTCCACAGATCAAGATTTCTGGTTGCTTGAAACGTCACTCTTGGTGATATCCTTCCATTCCATCGTTTCTGTCCATCCAGCATCATCCCTCTTGGTTTGCCTCTATTCCCTTTTCCACTGATCTTTCCAGTTAAGATATTCTCTAATGTCTCTCTTCTCATTATGTTGCCAAAGAACAGTCTTTGTCTCTTTCTTATTGTTGTACATAGATATCTACTTTCATTATCTTCTGTCAAGAAATCGTTGTTAGTTACTCTGGCCGTCCAAGGTATTCACAACATTCCTCTCAGAAACCACACCTCTCTTGCTTCCAAATTCTTCCTAATGTGTTCACTGACATTCAAAGATTCGCTGCCATACAGCAGAACAGGTTCTATGTAACATTTTAGCACCCTCTTTCTTTCTTTAAAAAATTGGATAAAAATGTCCCTGTCTGTATTCCCGGGCCCATTGTAGGAGCCGCGGGAGGGGATTAGATGTTGAAGTGGAAACTAGGTCCCATAACAGGCATGCCGCAATACCAGCCTAATTAGGATTGCAGATAAATAATCCAGATCTGCGAAACAAATGTACACGGAAAACTAAAGTTCCAAATAAGATACAAGTCCAGAGGTAGGCGAACAACCAAAACTGTTTGCCGGAGTTTGAAGCCGGTGATTGCGAAAAAGAACAAATGAAGAAAGAGTACAGTCAGAAAGCCCATATGCATGTATATGTGAAATACAACCTTTCAAACGTTGTGGTATAATGATGCCATAGATGTTCATATACAACCGTAATATTGTATTGTCTTAAATGCTTAGTAAATTGTTTACATAACAATTCAACGTAAAATGCCTTTAAAAAATTTGTAGTTCTCTAATGTTTCGCAGTATCTAGCCGTCTTCAATAGCAAATTTCAGATCGTGTGTTGACACTTATTTTTTGTAACAAACTGCACGCATGAATCTTCCCCTCTTGCCTTTCTCTGACTTGAGTTCAATAATGAATTTTGAATTAAGAATCGACATCATAACTCTCGAGACACCCTAATAAACTCTCCGCTCCCCCCCCCCCCCCCCCCTTCAGCAGCAAACGAAGAGTTCCTATTCCGATGACACCAGTAACCGTTTGATTTTATTTACGTCTTGCACTCCCTTGAGTGTTGAGCATCGGCCAGATTCCCTGTTAACTCCTCGCAACACCATTCTCCTCAGACCGTAATGATCTATTTGCGCTTCCACACTGTTCAATAGCTCACAGAGGGCCCCCACAACACACCGGCATGACCTTGAGAGAATATTTAAACAATGCTAACTACCCAGGAACTCCATCATGTTGCCACTCTGCACGGAAAGGAATGTCAACTTCCTTTCTCAAGATGCTCTGTGAGTCAGTGACAATCACATCATGTGTGTACAGCTGATTCTTAAGCAAGCGGAAGGCAGCAGTGACTGCCTCCCGCTCCATTCTCAAACTAAACTTAGTGATATTATATGCCAGGCTATGTTGAATTCAGTTAATCGTTTCACCTAAACCCAGTTTGTTTTCTTCTTTTATAACAGTTTATATACCCAGACAAGAATGGTTCCACTCTCTCTCTCTCTCTCTCTCTCTCTCTCTCTCTCTCTCTCTCTCTCTCTCTCTCTCTCTCTCTGATGTTTGTGTAAATCGTTATAGTTTGATGATCTTGTTCAAAGTGTTTTGAAATGAGAACAACCATAATTGTTTGTAATTTGTCTTCGGTTCCTAACCTCATTCAGAATATCTATATTTCAGAATAACATGATCACTGCAGTGTTATCAAACAGTCTCCCTGTCAACATGACAGAGATAAGCTTCCTGGGTAATCCGATAGTAACTATAGACGACACAGCGTTTGATGGATCTTCAGCAACTTTGACAACGCTCATGTTGTCAGGAGCCCGGTTCACCAAGATCCTTGACGCTTTCCTCCACCTTAATACCCTGACAGAGCTGAGTCTCTCAGACACAAACATCCTAGACTGGAACGACGAGGCAATGAAACATCTTGGTCAAACTCTTCAAACCCTTGCCCTCGAGAACGTGAGTCTAACCATCTGGCCAAGTTGGACTCAGTATTTAACTAATCTAACGGAGTTAGACATAACTGACAGTAAGATATCATATATTCCAGACAATGCACTGGATGGTATTGCTGACACCGTGAAGAGTTTCAACCTTGTCAGGTGCAACCTATTACAAGTACCAAAAGCCATGTCGCATTTGAATGCTGTCCAGTTTGTCCAACTTTTGCATAATGACATCTCTAATATTACGTGGCTTCCTAAATCCAAACAGCTCACTATATTGTCTTTAAGCAATAACAGTATTCATGACGCGAAAGCTTTGAGTGATAGCCTTCGTTCTTACGGAAAATCGTTGTTTATGCTCTACCTTGCTTTTAACCATTTGACTTCTATCCCGGACTTAGCCTTCTTGACACAGGCTGGCACCATGGACTTGTCTCACAATCGGATATCTGACTCTTCTACAGGTACACTCTCCAGTTCAGTTTACTTTCTAGACCTACGGTATAACTTTCTGCCTTCCATCCCTCACGTCATCTTCTCTTTACCTCTTATGTCGGACATGGTTCTATCCTACAATGCTATCACTCAGATCAGATACACTGACTTTCCATCTTGGGTCCTTGCCGTTGACCTCGGCTTCAATCTTATAACGGAGCTAACAGACACCAGCTTCCCCTCGCCTTCTAACATAACTGCCCTAATTTTAAACCAAAACCCAATAGGGCACATTTCAGCGCAAGCGTTTACAGGCCTGACCCGTCTTACACAGTTGTATCTACAAGGAACTAGGCTAACCCGTTTGCCTGTTGCTTTATCTTCACTAAAGAGTCTGAATTCTCTAGATATGACCGGTAACTCGTACTTGGTATGTACATGCCTGGAAAAGAGTCTAGATCTTTCCAGAATTGTGTCTAATCGCATGAGCATCTTAGGGAATTGTGGGAAAACCAGTATTGATAGCTTCTTTATTTATCTCAGCCCAGGTTGTCCCACGTTCTAAACTAAAGTCTAGCTCAGCAAATGGCCTGATATTTTGTGAATATTTTTGTGTATTGATATATAGTAGCAGATGTCGAAGTGGCCCAGAGGATAGCACTCTTGCCTTCTGTTGTTTTGGTTAGAGGTTCAAATCCCCACTCATTTCAGATTACTGACCAGGTTGTCCCAAGCTTGTAAACTTAAGTCTAGCTCAACTAAAAGGATGATATTTTGTGAATTTATTTATGTATTGATATATAGTAGCAGATGTCGAAGTAGCCCAGAGGATAGCACTCTTGCCTTCTGTTGTCTTGGTTAGAGGTTCGAATCCCCACTCATTTCAGATTTCTGACCAGGTTGTTCCACACTTCTAAACTAAAGTCTAGCTCAACTAATAGGCAGATATTTTATGAATTTTATTTGGTATTGATATATAGTAGAAGATGTCGAAGTAGCACAGAGGATAGCACTCTTGCCTTCTGTTGTTTTTGGTTAGAGGTTTGAATTCCGAAACTTTTCAGATTTCTGACCACGTTGTCCCAAGCTTGTAAACTAAAGTCTAGCTCAACTAATAGGCAGATATTTTATGAATTTATTTGTGTATTGATATATAGTAGCAGATGTCGAAGTAGCCCAGAGGATAGCACTCTTGCCTACTGTTGTTTTGGTTAGATGTTCGAATCCCGACTCATTTCAGATTTCTGACCAGGTATGCATTACTTTGAAGTTTTTATATTCTCAACATGTGCGACTTGAAGAACGACATGTTTGAGTCTCAAGGTGTTCTACTAAATAGGAAAGCTCAACATAGTTTACAGACATTGGGTTCGATAGGTTTAATGTACAGTGTACATATTGAATCAACTAAGATTCCATAGCTCGGAGCACTAGCTATTAGTACATTTATGTATGGCTGTGAAACGTGGACCTTAACAGCTGAACTTGAAAGAAAGATACAAGCATTAGAAATGCGA